CAAGGGTTATTCGAGACACTGCATTAAAAATGAATGGTCAAGAATCAGTCAAGTAGAGTAAAATAGAAAGCTTCATTGAAGCAGCTGTAAAACTTGTTAATATCCAAAAAATATATTAACTGTAATATGTGAAATTTACAGCAGCCAATGTCTGTTTTATAGACACCTGAACAGATGGATTTCAATAAACTAAAATTATATAATGAGCATAAAAAATGGGTACCGTCCTTGGCAACAAGGACGTACAACAACCAATGCATATCTGCGAAAATTTGATAAATTATCACTGATTATGTTTTATTTACTTTAAGACACATAGCAAAATTGATAGAAATCATTTTGGGTGTAGTTCACACTGTTCTAAAGAAACATTTGACCATATATTTTGAAAAATGAATGCTATTTTCTAAAATATTAGCGGTCTTATTATTCAAATTCATATTCGGGGAGGAAGTTCAATTTCTGGAGGAGACTAGAAAACAACTTTTTTTGCAAAAAATTGAAAGGTTTATGAGAGGAAGGAAACAGAATGGGGAATTCACTACATTAACTTTCTTCATGACAGCGTCCAAAACAACAGGCCATGAAGAAAAAAGGAGTTTTGGGGATAAACAGAAAGATAATTTTTTGTCACACCGACAAAATTTAGCAGATCTTTCAACCTTTGACTTGTTTCATTTCCCAAACTTAAATAAACATCTATCAGAAAGAAAAAAAAAGTACAGCAAATCATAGGATCTGCCATATTCCAGTATATGGAGGGTCATACTCAAAAATGTGTTCTAAAACAATTAGAAATTGAATAAAATTGTTACGGACATGTGTTTTAATTAAAAGAGAATATTTTAGTTAAATCATTCAGACTAAGTCATAGAAAAGCGTTTTTTGTCTCTTTCTGAGCCCTAATGACATTATTTATTGAACGCCCCTCGTAGATGTAGTATGCATTCCTTGGGGGGGAAAAGCCATTTAGAATCGTTGTTGGTATAAAATAGTAAATCACAATCGTCTATAAGGTGTTTTATTACATGTGTGATATACAAAAAGGGTCGACTGTTTTCATGGTTGTATTTATCTTAAAATTATTTCTTGACTGCAAATGTATACCTAAAAAACAAGCAACTCCTGCGTCCTCGGCATGTGAGCAATCATGTTTCCCCAAGGCTGACTTCTGACATTGTAATATATCTGTTTCATTTCCTCTACATTCAACGTTATCAATCCATATTTTGCCATTTCCTGGACCATACCTGGCTGATGATTTTGCTAAAGCATTCTTCCTATAATTGGTCAAAAGTGAAGATACTGATACTTGCGATATCAAAAGGGTAAGATGCAGAAAGACACGTAGATAAAACAATTAACCTTGAAAAGCCAAGGATATAGCAAAGAACAGCAGCATCTTTGTCATCCCACTCGTCATCACAAACAGTTCCCCACGTACCGTTAAACCTCAGTTCTACTCGGCCCTCATGTGGCGTAGATCCATTGACAAGTCTTATGTTATCTGCTTCAAAATATATCTATTTAAACTACATTTATTATTTTAAAAAATCCTTACAATGAAACATATATCTAAATTAGTACTAGTATTCAAAAGTCTTAATAGAGGAAGGAATAATATTGATTTATAAAAATGCTTTGTAAACACCATTGCAATCTCGTTTTAATAAATAAAAAAAAGCACCTAGTGAGCAAACAACCCCAGCATCTTCACCATTGTCACAATCATGTTTTCTGATTCCTAAGTTTTGACAGTGAATTAAATTGTCTTCAGTTCCCTTGCAATTTACATCTGTCATCCAAATAGTTTTATTTCCTGCTTCTAAGAATGGAAATGACGTCGATTTTGCATTTTCTCTAAAGAAAAAAAACAACATATCATATAATCCTACGGAAGTATTTAACTTCGACTTAGAAAAATTATTTGCAATAAAAACATGAAAACTTCACAGCTCACATATTATTTTTTAATAACTATCATACACATTGTTTCATATACATGTAAAATATGGGGTTGATACCCGGTTATTAAATATTAAGTTCTTTAAAAATTCCTTACCTTGAAAATCCTAGCATTGAGCACAAAACGGCAGCAGCATCGTCGTCCCATCTGTTATCGCAAACAGTTCCCCACGTACCGTTATACTTTATCTCTACTCTACCCATTGTACTACTCTGTCCACCTTTAAGTCGAAGGTCTTGCACTAAAATAACATTTTTAAGGGATGAATAATCGGCTATTAGTAAGATATTTACCATGATGATTATTTATAAGAAGGAAAATCTCTTCAATTTGAATCGATACATTTCTATCCAATGAAAAATAACAGTCATTGCTTTGTATTTATGAGATCTACTAAATTTTATTATTAAGGTTTTGGCTAAAAAATGTTTTATTATTTTTCCATAAATTGTCAAATACATGTCAATCTGTAATATGCAGCAAAAATTGGGTTTTACATGGAATCCCGAATGCAAATTCAAATTTTCTTAAAATAACTTTTCCTCCAGGATTAGCATATTTTTCACCACTTACATGTAATTTCTGTGCATAACCATCATCAAATACATTTCGAGATAATTTCATGAGGGAAAACAAAAACAATGAACTGTTGCAAACATAGGGTCATTCAAACTCTTCCAGCAAATTGTAAGCCTGTGTTTATACTCAACCTTTAGTAGACTTTTGACTAGATTTTCCATTTAGACATAAGAGCTTATTTTCAAAATTTAGTTTAATCGTTTGTTTGTACATGTATATTGTTTAATGTCCCTCTCGAGAATTTTTCAATCACATGGAGACGCTACTACTTGCTGGAAGTAAACTGCAAATTTTGTGCTATACTCGGCACTAACAGCCATCGTGAGCGAGAGATCTTTTTCATACCCGCACCTCCTGCGACACGCGACCTCGGTTTCCTATGGTCTCATCCGAAGGACCGGTCTCCACGTCCCACAATACGCGACGTAAGGATCAACTCCTTTCTCCGCGACTTTAGAGCAGACTCTCTAACTACTGCGCCACGTGGGCAACTAATCTCTTGAAATGTTAGTTATTAAACTTTTTCTATGAATTGTAATGAATAAGCGTGGATGCATACCAGGTGAGCAAAGTACTCCCGCATCCTCACTGTTGGAACAATCATGTTCACCTAATGTTTCACTTTCGCATTCAAAGATATTATTTTCATGGCCACCACATGACAACCCGTCAATCCAAATTTTCCCATTTCCTCGTCCATAAAATGCACTTGATTTTGCAAAAGCATTACTTCTGCAAATCAAACAAATTGGAAATTAAATATTTTGAAAGTACATGTAACTTGACATGCTCAGTAACATAAACATTTTGTATTCAAAAAAATATAATATATTCAAAGTTATTGGTAATCATAATTACCTTGGAAAACCAAGCATTGAGCAGATAACAACAGCATCTTTTTTGTCAAATCCGTCATCACATACCGTTCCCCAAATACCATTATGCTTAATCTCTACGCGTCCTTCATACGGCAGCGATCCATTGACAAGCCGAATAGTATCTATTATACCACAGTAATTAATCATGTAAAAAAAATGACATTTCATTCCACATTTTTGGATGCATAATCAGTTTCTGCTTTTATAATTTGAGTAAATACATTGTATATACTGTATGTGAATGAAAAACAAAAAAAAGGATTTACAAAAACAATCCAAATCCTTGCATTACACACCTATGATGTTATCTTGTTTCTTTTAATACCAAATATTGCACCGGTAAAGCGACAACTATACACGAAAAAAAGCTGTGACAAATATAACATGAAATACTGTAGTAATTTCTTCGTACGTAATGAGCAAATAACTCCCGAATCTTCATTATGACCACAGTTATGTTTGCCAATATCTGCTTTAGGACACTGAAATAAATTAATCTCGGTTCCTGTACATTTAACCTCGTCCATCCATATTTGTCCATATCCTGGTCTAAAGAAAGCCCCACTCTTTGCCACTGCATTTTCCCTGAAATAAAAATCATTTTAAAAAATTAAGGTTATAGGAAAGTTTAAGAAGCGAATACTCGAGAAATCCCTCATCATTGAATGATAATCATAGATGGAGATGTGTAAATATTTAGCTATAAAGTCAAATTGCCAAAAGAAAACGTATTAATTGACCGTATGAATATGTTACTGATTCGATCAAAAATTTTCTATTAATTTATTATATTTTCACTTTTTTTGTTTTAATTAGCCTCAGAAAACCGAGATCGTGCGTTTAAAGTTATTACTATAAAAATAAAATTAAAGCTTGATAATATCATTCAAAGATAATCTAACCTCGAAAATCCTAGCATGGAACATACTACAGCAGCATCATTGTCATCCCAGTTGTCATCACAAACAGTTCCCCACGTACCGTTATACATTACCTCCACTCGGCCCATCGAAGATGTATACCCATTTACCATTCGAATGTTTTCATCTGGAACTATCAGTTTAATAACTCAGTCCTCTTTGCAGTGCATTAAAAGATTTTGTGATCTGCATTGGATTACTATTTTTATTTTTCTATTACTATTATTTTCTTTTTAAAAGTTGATTTTACCTTTAGTATAATATTTTCACATTATTTCTCCTTTTTGAACGACAATTAGAGATTTTAAGAAAAATTATATTTCTACTATTTTGAATCGCCATTTCAACCTCTTTTACGGCATTTTCATGAAAGGCGGCATTTTTGGGGGGGGGGGGTTTCAACACACTCAGAATAGCAATGCTGCACCAAATCCTACTTTTTTGCCGTGAAAACGTATTTCTACAAGTAGTCTTCTTTTTAAAAATCAGGAGCAGACTATAATTCAATGTGTAAATGATCTGTTTTGAAAACGAGAATATCCACACAATTCTTCTCGTCGACAAGTCGCACTTTATTGCCATGGACCGTGCAATTACATGTATATGGTTTCAAAGTAGGCATATTGCAAAATCTGAATTTTGCTCAATATAGGTCACATGATCTGATCTACCACCCATCTTTGACTTTTAAGAAATATATATCCGATCATTACTTAGCAAAAAGAATGTTTGTTTGTATGCTGTTTAACGTCCCTCTCTAGAATGTTTCACTCATATGGATACGCCACCACTTGCCCGTTTGGGAGCTGCAAATTTTGTCCTATACTCAGCTCTTACGGCCATTGAGCAGTGAGGAATTATTTTGAAAAGAATGAGTTCATAAATTCATGATAAAAGCTCAACATAAAAATGGGTCTTCGAACATCAACGATAACGACATCAATACGATGTAAGTGCCAACAAATGTCATTTCTTACGTTTAAGAATGTAAGGTTGGCATGTGTCTAAATTTTTAACCTTGAATTTTCGAAAGAATTATCTCCCTCTTTTTTAATTAATAAAATAGAAAATCAATTTTAAAAATTTTATCTGGTAAAAAATTTCTTTTCAATTGTTATTCTGTTTCTAATGTTTTAATGCATCTTTCCACCACAGTATACCACAGTATTTTTTACATTCATATCATTTCTAAAACAAAATGCAATCTTTGTTAATTAATTACTGCTTATTTAGTAAAATGTTTTAGACTTTTCTCGCAGGCAATCCTTTTTTAATATAAAATGCTTAAATTTGATATCAGAGTATTATGTACTTGACGGTTATTAGAGGGTAAAGAATTAGGTTCTATTAGGAATGGAAATCCTTAACACAATTAAATCTTGAGCTGATTTTATGCAATGATACTCCATGCAAAATTAAACAAGCATGCATACCAGGCGAACAAAGTACTCCTGCATCCTCACTGTGGGAACAATCATGTTCGCCTAATGTTTCACTTTTACATTCAAAGATATCAGTTTCATCTCCTACACATGACACTTCGTCAATCCAAATTTGTCCTTGTCCTTCTCCATAAAATGCACTTGATTTGGCTGATGAAAAATCTCTACATGTAAAATATCAATACAAAATATGTTTAATTTAGATGCTTGCATTATATGCATGCATGTCCAGTGCATTGCCAAAATATAACTATGTAACGTTACTCTTTTGTTTGACCATTACTTTTGAAAACCAAGCATTGCGCAGACAACTCCTGCATCCTTTTTGTCCCATCCATCATCACATACCGTACCCCAAACACCGTTATGTTTAATCTCTATCCGTCCCTCATTTGGGAAAGATCCATTGACAAGCCTGATAGTATCTATTGAACAACAAAACAAATGAGGTGTAACTTGGGGAATAATTCCACTTCATTATGAATGTTTTAGTCCCCTATCGGTAAAACTGGATGGGGAATATAGATTTCCTCTGCGTCTGTCCGTCCGTCCGTCTAGCTGTCCCGTGTCTGCCTGTAAGTCTGTCCTACTTGGTTTTCCGCTTTTTTTTCTAAACGCTTGCAGATATTGAGCTGAATTTTGGTATGTGCGTATATCTTGATGAGTTACAGGTCAAGTTTGAATGTCATTTTGCTTCATTGATTTTTGACAGAATTATGGCTTTTTTTTCATAATGTTATAAGATCGTACTCGTGCTGTGCTTAAGTCCGAGGGTCAACATGGTAAATAGGAAGCGAGAAAAAGACGTTGAAAAATAAGTTGAATTTTCGTTTTTGTGTGGATTATTTTTTTTTTAGGTTAAAGACATGCACAACCTCAAAATTTTAACATCAAGCAGTAATACCTTGGTCTTAACTTTTGAATATTATAAAATGACATCCTAAAGAAAAAGGGGAACCCGGTAGGGGACATGCATTGCTTATTCAAACTTTCAGAATGCTTGTTCAAATAAAAATGTGTTAAAACACTGAATAATGTGTACAATTATATAAACTGAAAATTTCTTGTATTATAACAACTTCAGATTTGTACTGAATAATGCCTAGGTCACATTTACATGTAAGCCGATGGTCGAGCGACTAAATTTTTCTGGTCTTGTCGGCTGAAAGAACAGGATCGGCCGACACAGTATCGGGCGACACGGAACAGTCACATTATTTCCTAGGGACACCGATGACTTGGATAAATAACACAAACAATTTTTTTTCTTTAGAAATCAGCAATATTTTTTCATAGATCTATATTCAAATAGGTGACGTGAGTAATGTTTGCAACGCAAAGTGGCAGAATATTATAAAATTGTGACTCAATGTTGAAAATGTGGTTAAAATTTGTATGGAATTGCATAAAAACGACAAATGGTGCATATCTAAGCAGCAAAGAATACTTAAGATTTCTTCATATCTTACGGATTAATTATTTATGTTATCTCCGTTCAAAAAATTTATATCAATCCATGCATAAAAATTTTGTTTGTGTTAGGGCCTATGTATCCTTAATAGGTTTAATATTCACAAGTCGGCCAATCGTCGCCCGATCATCGAGCTCTGAACTACAGTTTGATTTTAACCGTCGGCCGAAATTTTCAACACCCTTATTGTCCAACGACGGACGACCGACTTAATAAACTGACAGCCGATGGTCGGACGATGATCGAAGTTTGGTCGACGGATAACTGCACTTGAAGAAATCGGCCACCGACGCATGAAAAATTGTAACTTGGACCAATGGACACAAAATTGGTCGGCCGACAAAAAAAGAGGTCGAAATCGGCCAAGACAACGACCGATGAACTGACGACTGTCACCCGAAGAATCCCATTTTTGCTCCAAAACCCGTCGGCCGTTGGTCGTTTTTGGAAATGTGACTGGGATTTAACGCAGCTTCTTTTCCTCTAAATTAAGTATTATATACCCCTTGATTATTATCGGCCGCAGCAGCGGCCGATCAGCGGCCGATCGATCTATTTGTGGTTGTGTTAGAAAGTGCACAAGGGGAAATGAGACGTTATTTTATATTGGTTCGGTAAAATTAATTCTTAAGTAATAACAAGTAAAAACCATGAGTAAAATATTTTAAGAACTTGCTTTAAAGTAAGTATTAATTGTTGTTATTATATTTCGTTATCATTTTTCATTTTGTATAAGATATGAAAGGAAATTTTCCGGATAATAATGGCGCGGATAAAAGTGCAAGGTGAAAAAAAATGATTTTTTTGCAAACTTATAAAAATTGTTTTGGATATGTTCTACAGCTGGAAATGACACAAAGATATGTTTTCTACATTTTGCACCGCTGCTTCCCCCAGCATAGCCTACTCTGCAGGGCATTATCACGTGACCAAGATCCCGTGTATCAGCATGGGTTAATCTTGAGAGGCCTACATCTTCATTTTGAAGACAATAAATTCTTATACTTCATCAATGACCTTTTTTTTACATCAATGAATCTGTGAACAAAATGCGGTAAAATGGCAAAAAGTATTTTTTTTATATATATTATTTATTTTGCTTTGAAGACAGCCTGAAATAAGAATGATTCAACTAGGTACGGTATTTCACTTTTGAATATCTTTACGTATTTTCCTTGCATGGACGCTCTTAAAATTGTGAAAGAATTTTTTTTTAATGCTAAAGTTTGTTTGCTGCCGAATTGATGCTTTCCATCAATTTTACTTGTTACATTGGTGGGGGGGTGCATTTTTTATTTGACAAATATGTGTTACGATGAAAGTAAAGAAAAATACGTGGTGATTATAATTATTTTAAATGTTTGTTGATGTAATTACTTAATACCTTATTTGTAGATATAAAGTTATTTTACACAATATTGAAAACATTAAAATCCAGTTTATGTTTACAAACCCTATGGCATATAGTTTGCAGTTATATAACCACATGTGTATCAGTAAGTTGATCGCATACCGTAGGTTTTATCAGTACCTAATGAGCATATAACTCCCGAATCTTCACTATGACCACAGTTATGTTTGCCAAGTTCTGCTTTAGGACACTGAAACAAATTAACCTCTGTTCCTGTACATTTCATCTGGTCCATCCATATTGGTCCATATCCTGGTCCAAAGAAAGCCCCTTTCTTTGCCACGGCATTTTCTCTGGAAAGAATTCATATATACTGTATTCTTTTAATGGGCAGATGATACAAAAAGGATGCCTTGATTATTATATATGTTTTCCGATAGATATAATGTTCTATCGTTAAAATGATAACGATAGAATTCGTTCCGTGTATTCACAATGTTGCAAAATAAACACGGGAGATAATTCAAACTAAGTGCATTTACTACGAACAATCAAGAGAGTTCCGAATTAAACATGGCGTATAAATTTGAAGCGAGAAAAAAAACTTTGAGAAAATTGATTGAATTTTCGTCTTTATTTGGATTATATTTTAAGCTTAAAGGCATACAAGGCCTCAAAAACGTTTGTTACAATTAATTTGGAAGTAATTTTTAGTGCAAATCCTTTTGTATTCCTCGAAATCGTTTCGGGCGAATCTGCAATTTTTTGGAGGTATTCTAACTGTGATGAGGGCTTGTCCTCAGACACAGTTAGATTAATAGTCCCCTACCGATGAAACCGGGGGAGGGCACCATAGGTTTCATCTGCGTCTGTCCGTCCGTCCGTCTGTCCCGTGTCTGTCTGTAAGTCTGTCCTACTTGGTTTTCCGCATTTTTTCTAAACGCTTGCAGACAATGAGCTGGATTTTGGTATGTGATTATATCTTGATGAGTTACAGATCAAGAATGAATGTCGTTTCGCTTCACTGATTTTTGACAGAATTATTGCATTATTATTTTTTCATAATGTTTATGATCAGATTCGTACTGCGCTAAATTCCGTGGGTCAACATGGTAAATAGGAAACGAGAAAAAGACGATGAAAATGAGTTGAATTTTCGTTTTGTGTTGATTTATGTTTTCTAACTAGTTTTCCGATTGTATTTATTTTTTGTAAATGAAGCAAACTGCAAATTTATAAAATATTGAACAATGGGCCATATCGCTCACCTGAGTAAGTTTGGCCATTATGTTCTTTAACGGATTTCCACCTCGAAATATCTAGCGTGACCCCGCCCTATCCCCAGGAATCATGATTTGACGAATTGGAATCCACGATACTACTCGATGCTTCCACATCAGTTTCAGCTTTTTCTTCTATCAGAACAAGTTTTAAAGCACCCTTTGGGTATTACATTGTCCAACCTGGTTCTTACGGGCGTCTGTAAGCAGCCAATGAAGCTCCTTAAAGATCTTCGCCATTCTTTTGTTTGAGAGGAGAATTGAGAGGTTCTTTTTAAAGATACCGCCGAGGTTCTTAAGGACAGGACGGTATGTGGTTACCAGAGGGACCCTGCTGTTATTGTCTTTCTCTTTGTGGTGTAATAGGTTTTGCACGTCGTGTCCTGCCATCTCATCAATAACATTTAGTACGGTGTCGGGTTGGTAGCCTCTCTTGCATAAATGGACTAAAGGAGATTGCTTTGTATTTTTAAAATGCAGAGGATCAACAGATGCGCCGAATTCTGGTGGCTAGACCCGTAGGCATACCCTTAAATGTTGGGGAAACTGCTGGACGGCATAGGACACATATGGGAATAAGTAGGTTTCGTATAGTGACTAAATACGATTTAGCCATCAATCAGGGTGGATGAGGTATCTAGGATTGTGGGGGTTTTTTTGCATTTAGATACGTCTGCGACTGATGGAAATGCCTCGCAGCTGTCGCGGCATTCCACTCATTTCATTTCTATATCGTTAATGAAACGCAACCAGCTATGCGTTCAAGTCTTTCCATGAAAATATTGGTAAAGGATGCGGCCATTGTATTACCTATTGCAGTGCTTTTAACCTGCAGGTATTGTTCTCCATTAAACATGAATCTGTTGTACTTGGAAACATTTTCAAGGAGCTAAGCAAGAAAATTGGTTGAGGAAATCTGTATAAGTCTTCTATGCCAGACTTCTCTACTGGCCTCGATACCTACATCATGTGGAATATTAGTGTACAAAGAAGTAACACAGGCACGAGAAGGATAAGACTGGAAGACCAGTAGGGGCGTCTCGTAGATGTAATCCGTGGTATCCTTGAGACGGCAAATTCTCTACATATGGACGGAGATGTGAATTCAGAAATTTACTCCTTAGGTTGTTCAACTGCAAAACTCTATGCCTTCTTTATGTATCTTGAAAACCAGGTAAAATTGTCCTGCCTAAAATTCAATAGGAATGAGTGTCTCATAGACGTTGATACAAACCTTGGTTTTCTCAAACATTACGTCAAGTGTCTCGGTGAAAGCGGTGGATAATTCCTAAGTACGGTCAGAGTCCAGTTTCTTATAGAAAAGTTCGTCTCAGAGCTGTCTCACCCCTACTATTGTTATTGTGGTTTAAATTCAAAACACGTGGTATAGGTTTACCTATTCAAAGGTTATAGAGGGTAGCTGGGAAGAGTCATATGAATCATTTCGGATTCTTTTCTAGAGAAGTCCTCCCTCGGAAGAAAATAAAAATCGGAATAAAAGAATAATATTCCCAGAATGTTGAGATGAAACTATGGTCTTAGATAACAGTTCAGGATCGAGTCAAATGTAAATTTTCCGGCTCACACAATTTTGGTTTTTCGGGAAATTGAATGTGAAAGTTGTGTGAGGAACAGGTATGTTTATTTTCTGTACTAACTTTTGGGTCTCAAGATGTGGAAGTTATTAATTCCAACAGCAAATCATGCACCATTTCTGCAGTAGCCAATAACTTTCTAATGATATACTATATTATTATATAGTATATAAGTATATATTATTCCGATACTCTGAATAGTTATCTCTGCATTATTGCTTGTGTCGTAGACTCTCTCTCTCTCTCTCTCTCTCTCTCTCTCTCTCTCTCTCTCTCTCTCTCTCTCTCTCTCTCTCAAGACTTCAAATATTCTTTTAAAAAATTTGACAAGATTTGCAAATGTCTAGGATTCACAAACATTGTCACCGACAAGAATATCTACCAATATCTTATATTTTTCGTCCCTTCTGCATTCGGGAAAAAGGCTTGTTTTGACATATATTTAAAACTAGTGCTAATTGTAACGGGGACCGCGTTACAGATGTTCCCCAAACGCTTCCCAGATCCCTTTTTGTGCCTTATTCCTGTAAAACTTTTTTTTTTAATTTGCTCAGTGTCGACGGATTCCATTTAAGAATATTAAAGTTACAATGATATCAACTATATATCATTTAACGTTTCACATGCGCGCGCACGCATATGCAAGATAATCATGGCATGTTGGCTAAAGAATTCCTGAGAATCAAAGGAAATAATACAGATATAAATGTTACTATTTTTCAAGTATTTTAGTCATTTTTCGCATTGCGCATGCGCACGTGCTTGCATGTCCATGCTTCCAATTTTGATAGTAGCATAATGTAGGTATCTATTACACCTACTCATATTCTAAATTTTATCCGATTTATTAAAAATTAAGGAAAGTTATAGGCATTTAAAGTCTAAGCCAATCAGATTGCAGCGCACGTGCATGCACGTGCTTTTCTTGAAAATTCTTGAATATCATTTTGTAGAACCTTCTAATGTATGACTATATTTAAAATTTCAAAGTATTTTGTTAAAAAAACAAGAAAGATATTGAGACTTTAGTCTCAGTCAATCAGAGCGAAGCACATGTGCATGCGCGTGAGTTCATGATAATCTGACCATATCCTGTTGTCTATAGTACTAACATATACTTAATATATTATTATTTTCAAACATTTCATAAAAAAATAGAAAAGTTACGGCTTCATCTATTATATGGGTCACTTCACGTGTTGCAAGTGCGCGCTCTTGCAAGCACGTGCGCGCAAAATGACCTTGATTCCGCAAATCTACACAACATGTTTACTACGGATGAACAGTTTACAAGATCATTCGCGGACAAAAAAGTGCCCAGGAAGAAGAAAAATAACTATAAAGTCTGCTATTGCAAGCAATAGCTTATGTCGCCCCGAACTGGACAAGACTTTAATTTTTTTTTTCATCACTAAAACAATACCTATTAGCTAAGCTTGGAAAACCATCAACTCGTATCAGTCCTTTCAGAACTTTGATTTAAAAATCAATGTAAAAAAATTTTTTACGTTTCCCCTGTTTCCATGGAAACTATTGATAATATCTAATTTTTAAATGCAACACGCACAATGAAAGATACTAATCATTTAAGCGGTAAAGTTTCATGACGAATGTCTAAGGGACCAGAGAGAACACTCGTGGACAAAATTCGTCGCTTTTTGCAGGTTTCCATGGCAACGGTAGCCATTTTGAACCTGAATGACCACACATCACAACTACAACCAGTGATCCTCCTTTGAGGAAAGTTTCAGTAAGATTGTTCAGGCCATCTCCGAGAAACCGCCTGGACAACAAAAACATGCGTACAATCGCAATATGTCGTCCCTGACTTCGTTCAGAAACAGAGTAAAAACAATATGTTCCCCAACTTCGTGCGAGGAACATAAATATGAATGAATGGACGACAATTTGCAAGGAAAGAAGATATGTAACATATCTTCTTTCCTTGCAATTGATTGTATCCTCATATACGTTCAAATCTCATTGTTCAATAGTTTTCAGGAATAAGAAATCACAATAATGCAATAATCTCACCTTGGAAATCCCAGAACTGAACAAACAACAGCAGCATCTTTGTCATCCCAATCGTCATCACATACAGTTCCCCACGTACCGTTATACATTATCTCCACTCGACCCATCGAAGATGTATATCCACTTACAAGTCGAACTAGACCAATAAAATTAAATAAGTGTATTAATTTAGATAATTGTTAGAGAAACAATCATTTGATGCATGCATTTGATGATAAATAAAACATGTATGCATACCAGGCGAACAAAGTACTCCTGCATCCTCACTGTGGGAACAATCATGTTCGCCTAATGATGGAATACTACATTGAAAGATACTGTTTTCCTGTCCATGACATGACACTACGTCAATCCAAATTTTGCCATTCCCTTGACCATAAAATGCTTTTAACTTGGCTGATGCAGAATTTCTAAATATAAAATGTTTATGCAAAATATATATTCAACAGAATATTTTACCCGGTATTCCATATGCTTATTGCAAAAGATATTTCCTATTTTTTTCATAGTTGCATATTATTTTAAATACAACTAGTGCTAATTGTAAGGGGGACCGTTACAGATGTTCCCCAAACGCTCCCCAACTCCCTTTTGGTGCCATATTCCCTATAAGCTTCATTAAATAGGACAAAATCTAATTGCATTTGAGACTTTAACAACGCCAAGTTGATTCAAATTCTAGCATTGCACGCGTGCGCATGTGAATGGATGTGCGTAATGACCATATCATCTTGTCTACACAATCTATATATTTTGATATACTAAATATTAAAGTATTTAATCCAAAAGTATTTTTAAAAAACGCCCATTCAAGTGTATTTCTAATTTTACTCATTTCACGTGCACGCACGTGCATACATAAGCATGGTGACTATACCTTCTTGTAGAAGTCCATTACATCTATCTATGATCTAAATCCCACCCCGTTTGGTTGAAAACCAAGGGAGTTATAGCTGTTTAAAGTTTCAGCCAATCAGATTGCAGCGCACGTACACGTACGTGTATGCATGTGCATGGTGACCATACCTTCTTGTAGAAGTCCATTATATCTATCTATGTTCCAAATCCCATCCTGTTTGGTTGAAAACCAAGGGAGTTATAGCTATTTAAAGTTTAAGCCAATCAGATTGCAGCGCACGTGCATGCACGTGTTTTCATGATAATTGCTATTTATCATGTTGTAGGATATCCTAATGCATGGCTATGTTCAAAATTTCAAAGGATTTCGTCAAAAAACAAGAAAGATATTGAGACTTTAGTTTCAGCCAATCAGAGCAAAGCGCACGTGCATGCGCGTGAGATCTTGCTATTTTGACCATGTCATATTGTCTAAGCAACTAATATATCCTTATATTATGAGTTTCAAAGCATTTCATCAAAAATGTAAAAAGTTATGCCCATATCAATTAAATCGGTCATTTCACGTGTTGCACGTGCACGCTCTTGCAAGCACGTGCGCGCAAAATGACCTTCGTTCCGCAAATCTACATCACATGTCTACTGACCCTAAAAAGGTTTTACCTAAGTCGGATGTGTAGTTTACAAGATCACTCCCGGACAAAAAAGAACCCATTAAGAAGAAGAAGAAGAAGAAGAAGAAGAAGAAGAAAAATAATAATAACTAGAGCAAAGCTCGTTGCAAAGCAACGAGTAGGTCTTCCGTCCGGTTTTGACCGGAAGTGACATCAACACAAGAAAGCAATGAGCTAAGTTGTCTCCAGTGACTTTATAATTTCAATTTGCATCAAAACCTTCAAAATAAGCTATTTTTGGCTACTTCCGGTTTGACCGGAAGTGACGACGACAGACGGAAAATTATTTTTTATGCTACCAGAGACATATATAATGCAAAAACTTGTCTAGAACGACAAAAATACGTGTTTTCCGACTACTTCCGGTTTGGCCGGAAGTGACGACGCCGGACGTATTTTGAAGACCCCATTAGATAAAGCTTGACATTTTGAACAACTTTGCTTCTTTGATGTATTACAAATTTTCAATACTTTTTGAGATATAAAGAAAATTCTTTCGGCCCCTCTAGGCCCTTAATTTTAGGGGCCAGCCCTTTTTCCGAGATATCATTTGAAAGATCTTGAGATTCTACACTTCTTTTGTTCTATATGTTTTAACAAAATATTTCCAGGTAAAAAAATATCGTAGAAAAGGTGTTAAAAATTTTGAAATTCACGATAGGACTTTTTTCGGGCCACAGCGAGCGCCGACGTGCGGCACTTCCGATAAAAATGAAATACATTCCACAAATCTACAGACATAGGTCTACCATACCTGAAAGTATCATGTGTCTATCAAAAGCCGTTTAGGAGAAATCGTGCGGACAAACGGACCCTTAAAAAACCATTAAAGTGATGATAACTCTGGACCGGAAGTGACGTCATCAAAACAGAAGAAAACGCATAAGGTTCAAGTGATGTAACATAAGTCCTGAAAGTTTCATGGAAATCCATCGAGCCGTTTTCGAGAAATCGCGTGCACAAAATCGGTAAGAAAAAAAACAATAATAATAACTAGAGCAAAGCTCGTTGCAAAGCAACGAGTAGGTCTTCCGTCCGGTTTTGACCGGAAGTGACATCAACACAAGAAAGCAATGAGCTAAGTTGTCTCCAGTGACTTTATAATTTCAATTTGCATCAAAACCTTCAAAATAAGCTATTTTTGGCTACTTCCGGTTTGACCGGAAGTGACGACGACAGACGGAAAATTATTTTTTATGCTACCAGAGACATATATAATGCAAAAACTTGTCTAGAACGACAAAAATACGTGTTTTCCGACTACTTCCGGTTTGGCCGGAAGTGACGACGCCGGACGTATTTTGACGACCCCATTAGATAAAGCTTGACATTTTGAACAACTTTGCTTCTTTGATGTATTACAAATTCTCAATACTTTTTGAGATATAAAGAAAAAACTTTCGGCCCCTTTAGGCCCTTAATTTTAGGGGCCAGCCCTTTTTTCGAGATATCATTTGAAAGATCTTAGAATTCTACACTTCTTTTGCTCTATATGTTTAATCAATATATTTCCAGCTAAAAAGATATCGTAGAAAAGGTGCTAAAATTATGAAAATTCGCAATATGTCATTTTTCGGGTCATAGCGAGCGCCGACGTGCGGCACTTCCTATAAAAATGAAATACCTTACGCAAATCTATAGACTTAGGACTATCATGCCTGAAAGTTTCATGATTCTATCTAGAACCATTTCTTAAAAAGTCTGCAGACAACCTGACCCTTCAAAAATCATAAAATCGGCAATATCTCCGAACCGGAAGTGACGTCATCAAATCTAAAAAATATGTATCAGGTTCAAGTAATGTTACATAAGTCCTGAAAGTTTCATTAAAATCCATCGAGCCATTTTCGAGAAATCGCGTGCACAAAATCGGTAAGAAAAAAAAATAATAATATAGAAGAAAAAAAGTGAAAAAGAAACCGAAGAATAACAAGAAGGTCTTCCGCTGAAGACGGAAGACCTTAATAAAAGTGAAAAAGAAACCTAAGAATAACTAGAGCAAAGCTCGTTGCAAAGCAACGAGTAGGTCTTCCGTCCTGTTTGACCGGAAGTAGTTTTCATTTTTAACGAATATGAGAAATAACGCCCCAAAATTGGTTGAATCCTCAAAATCTATGTTAATTAATGCAAAAATAAGCCATTTTTTGCTACTTCCGGTTTGACCGGAAGTGACGACGACGGACGGAAAATTTATTTTTATGTTCCTAGTGACAAGATACCCAAAAACTTGTCAAGAATGACCAAAATACGCGTTTTCCGACTACTTCCGGTTTGGCCGGAAGTGACGTCGTCGGAGGTATTTTGACGACGCCCGTAGATTAAGCTTGAAATTTTGAACAACTTTGCTTCTTTGACGTATTACAAATTCTCAATACTTTTTGAGATATAAAGGAAAAACTTATGGCCCCTCCAGTCCCTTAATTTTAGGGGCCAGCCCTTTTTTTGAGATATCATTTGAAAGATCTTGGAATTCTACACTTCTTTTGTTCTATATGATATAACAAAATATTTCAAAGTAAAAAGATATCATAGAAAAGGTTGTAAAAAATTTGATCTTCGCGATAGGACAATTTTCGGGCCATAGCGAGCGCCGACGCGCGGCACTTCCGATAAAAATGAAATTCATTTTGCACATCTATAGACTTAGGACTATCATACCTGAAATTTTCACGTTTCTATCTTAAGCCAGTTTTTAGAACGTTCGCGGACAACCTGACCCTTCAAAAATCATAAAATCGACAATATTTCCGGACCGGAAGTGACGTCATCAAAACGGAAAAAAATGAATCAAGTTCAAGTAATGTTACATGAGTCCTGAAAGTTTCATCAAAATCCATCCAGCCGTTTTCGAGAAATCGCGTGCACAAAATCGGTAAGAAAAAAAAGAATAATAATAGGTAAGAAAAAAAGTGAAAAAGAAACCGAAGAATAACAAGAAGGTCTTCCGCTGAAGACGGAAGACCTTAACAAGAAGGTCTTCCGCTGAAGACGGAAGAACTTAATAAGAAACAGAGTAAAAACAATATGTTCCCCAACTTCGTTTGGGGAACATAATTACCTTGGAAAACCAAGCATTGAACAGACAACAGCTGCTTCTTTTTCACCCCAGTTGTCATCGCATACGGTACCCCAAACACCGTTATGTTTAATCTCTACTCGTCCCTCATACGGCAACGATCCATTTACAAGCCGAATAGCATCTAATTAGAAATCACAAAATTTTCACAAAATTAATAGCATTTAAACACACGATTAATTGAAGGCCTGCTTTTTCATTAACAAAACAACTCATATACATGTATATTTATGTCTTAGGTTTAGTGTAACCGGTATTTTATAAATTTTAAGACAGAGATAAATAGATTTATAAGCAAATCATTTATTTAAATCAAGTACATGGATTTTAGAAAATAAAAAAAAACCAACAGAGTTGCAATAAAACTTTACAATCTTGATTTTAGAACATGAAATTAAAAAGAGCATTTGAATAGTCGAATTTACAAATCTTGCCTTTTACTACCTGATTTTCTAGAAGTTGGAATAGATAGAATTAACCATATATTAAATGAATGCCTGTTGGAATAGAGAATAGGTATATTTACATTTTAGAACTATAAATCAGAATTTTTACATATATTTTCCACTTTAATCTACCGGTATTCATTCTAAAATTCAGCCATTTCAATGCTTTTTGATAAATCTAAACTTTTCTATACTAAAAAACTTTTTCTTGCAATCCATATATTTTAATGGAATTTTTCATAAATTTATTATTTTTGGTCTTAAAATGTACAAAAACAGGTACAGTGTATATTTAAAAAGGGACGTCTAATTCCTGTGAAATCAAATAAACTACAGTAACTGTAAACCATCTTTTATTCGTTACGAATTTATTTCGCGATTTACCAGGGGAAAAATAGTTCGCGACGATTAATTTTGAATCTGTTGTTAATGTATACAGAGATTTTATGGACCTGTTCGCAGCGAGAAATGATTCGCGATGACGAGGCTCACGCGAACTTCGCGAAAATTTCTCGCACGCGAATAAAAGTTGATTTACAGTATCTAAACATCTATTGTTATTTGCAAGTAGGAATAGGTGGAATTGAGATTTTTTGTCCCCCGCTTAAAAAGTGGGGGATATTAATTTGGGTCTGTCCGTCCGTCATTCTGTCTGTCTGTAACGCTTTCGTTTCCACACGATATCTCGAGAACCCTTTTAGCTTTCGCAATGAAATTTTGCATAGCAACTCCCTATGGACTAAAAAAGAACCCTATTGATTTTGAGGTCAAGGTCATAAATTCGCAAATTCTGTCTGTTATAACACTAATTTGTTTCCGCGCGATATCTCGAGAACCCTTTGAGCTTTTGCAATGAAATTTTACAAAACAACTCCTTGTGGGCTAAGGAAGACCCCTGTAGATTTTGAGGTTAAAAGGTCAAAGTTCAAGGTCGTAAATTTATACATTCTGTCTGTGTGTAACACTTTCCTTTCCGGGCAATATTTCAAGAGGATTTGGAGCTTTTGCAATGCAATTTCATACCAAAACTCCCTAGGACCTCCCTCATCTCTCTCAAAGTGTCCCGCCCCGTTTGTTTTACAAGTATTTATTGTATGATATGTCGCTATTTTTATCACAGGGGTATGAGGACATTTTTACGTATAAACAGGTTCTCGGCGGACTTTATATTCTTATTACATCTATTAGAACTGTTTAACAAAGGTTAAATTAGACACCATGCATTGTTTAAAATTTTGACAATATCGAACGTGAATATATATATACATGTATGTGACTTCATATTTGCATGTAATTTTCGTCAATGTACAGCAGTACCGTGGTGTAGTGGTATGTCTCTCGCTTCACAAGCGAGAGGTTCCAAGTTTGACTCCCGAGCGATCACTTTTCTTTTCTTTTTTTTCCGAAATACTTTTTTTTTTTACTGAATGATAGTATTCAGCATGTGAAATGAAAAATTTACGAGGTCTAGTTTGTACAAACTCATAAAATCATCACTACAGTGTGATAAATATTCCATATAAAAAGAATCTTCTATACACATAATTAAGAATAAGCAATCAAATCTTTATATCCATATTGACATATTTTATTTGCTTCAGAATACATGTATACATTTCATAATAATTCTACAAATTCAGTCAGGGGGAGCCGACCCCCCCCCCCATTTCCCCCGAACTGCGCATGGTTTACTTTTTTCCCTAAGCGGGGGACACAAATTCTCTAAATTAGCTTGTTAAAGTTGGAATAGGTAGGTGACACCATGTATCTTTATTCCAAATTGAAATAAAAGGGAGTTGATTAATCTATTATGGCAACGTTCTTTATTCTGGAAGACAAGCAGATTGGAATTGTTTGATTGGAAAGAAAAAAACACTTTTTTTGTACAATAAATTACTCCCCCGCAGTTACTATATCATGGAAAGACTGAAAATTGTACATTGACTTTTGTGAAACTAAAAAATCATACCCGCCAAGAGTCGTTTTTACAATATGGTGGGTATGGGTTTTTTTCATAAATCTTCCCCTCCGATGGTAAATTCATAATTTCAGGAACTTTTATGAATCATTCATGAACATTCATGATGTGTTCATGAATGGTTCATTACTGGTTCATAAAGATGGTTCATGAACTTTATTCATGAATATATTCATAAAATGTAGTTCATGAACAAATGATGAATATATAATATGAATATTGGTAATTTTCATTTTAAAGACAGAAAAATGTAGAGTTCAAGGTATTATGAATGTTAATGAATTTTCATGAAGACTATTATAAAATAATTGACAAAAATGATTGACAGAAAACACTCATTACTCGCATAATACAACTTTTGCATGCAGATGCAAATGTTGAACAAGCCCATGGTATAATTTATATTTAATAACATTCTTTCACCAACTATCTGAAAAAATAAATCATGAAATCTCTAAACATTTCGTGTTTTTATTTGTTTAATTAAACAAACACTGCATTGACATTAACATTTTTTTTTTCAAATTGATTACTTATGTTCCTTCATAATTTAAATTAAACAGTTATATTCATCATAATGTGCTTTACACACAACTTTGTTCGAACGAATTTTCTCTTACATCAAACTTTAAACAAGTTGTTGGAAGAATTATAATGAAACATTCTGGAAAAAGAACTTTGTGAGCTTCGAAAAAAACGTTATAATATATTTATTAACAACTAAAAAATTATATCGCTTGTCTGTACTGTACCGTATTCTTCCTGGATCGAAACGCTATATACATTTTAATTTTGGTACAAAGTTTCCGTTGCTTCGTGTGTAAATGATATAGCACAGACTGCATGGTTGTAAAGTATCTATGACATAATCCACATACGTATTTTGTACTTTTAATTGTCCTATGCGTCTTCACAGCTCAGAATATTCAGTCTGAGGGCGAGATATTGATATTATCATGTCATATGTCCTCTGTTTATGGGGGCCGCCATATTGCATACGAAACTAAAATGCAATACATGTATAATTGATGACGTAAAAAATTCGAATTCTACATTGATAAAACTTATTATGATATAAAAAAATTTGTATTTTCACAGTGAAAAATTATTCAGATAGTGTTTGTTATTTTTTTTAAACAGAAATCTTGGAAATTCGAAACTAACGTATTTCTTAGCTCTACCGTACATTTTTGAATAGGCGCAAACTTGAAAACGCGCGAGATGTTGGAAGTGGGAATTTGTAGAGTGGAGGGATCGGTATTTGTGATCTATAATTTGCATAGTCACTGACCTTTGTCAACTTTTTAAGAAAATAACAGAACATGAAGAAGGAAGACTATATATACGATCGATCTACTTCATAACTGGTGAGTGACAAAAATGGAGGCAATCACTGAGTCAGAAATCTGTCTGTAAACGTTACTGTCTATTTGTAAAATAAATTAATATGTCTTTTTTTAATGAAAGTTTTGTCTAACTTTGCTTTGAGTTGGGATCCAACCATATAATACCGCATATTTGAGTTCATCTCACAATATGCGCCGTTATCAAAGCTCTATCCTATTATTCTATGTCATCATTCACCTCCTTTTTGTGGAAAAAACTAATAAATGTGATAAGCCGGAATTTATTTATCCATCCATACAGCGTCGGTACTTAGTCACTAGATTTACGGGTTATCTCCCCTTTTCTATGCATCAATGAAAGCGAAAGGTGGGTGATGAAAGTATCCGATTTATGTTTTTGTATTGTTAAATATTTTATAATAATTTCCAGTTTTTAAAGTTAAGTTTCAGTCAAAGATGTAAAACAGATTATCTTATTAACATGGATATTGCTCGATGGCAAGTATTTTATTGGATTGAAACAGATCGATTTGCCACCCGTCCATGCTTTAAACACTGGCACATGGTACAAGATTACAATGTGGTAATAATAACCGACTTCATCAGCAGATTTTGAATGAATAAAAACTTACTTAGTGAAATAATATATAAACAAAATGAGCTAGTGTAAAAATAGGTATGAATTTCAACTTTATTCGGTCCATGTTATTCAAGGTCATTTGCCAATAAACATCCGTACACATGGTGGCCTATATTTTGTTACTTACATCCCATAGCCTATCTTTAGGGGATTAAAAAATGGGAATATCCATAATTATAATTCTTACAGTATGCGTATGCTTTTGAAACTTTGGGTTTGGTGCATTTATCAGTTTATTTAAAATATTGAGTGATTTAAAAAAAAAAAAAAGGATAGCCTAAGGGTTACCCTAGCTGTGCCATACCAGTCTACCTTTTTCCTAAAAACAGTGAATAAATAAAAAAAAAAATACAGATTGAGAAGTAATAAATGTTTGACAAATCTTCAGAAATGTTATTTAGCTAGATTCACAAAGGGACAGAACTCTAATTAAAGTATATAAATTTCAATCAAGGCCATTCAACTTTAACAAGGGTCCAAAGAGAGGCATGAAAGATATGCAATTGCGACAAAGGCAGTAATCATTTGTGAAATAAAATAGTTTGAAGTAAAATAAATAACAAGTTTTGGTGCTTTTGAATGTAGCATTACAATAATGCATTTTATGATATGAATGAAACATCAAGTAAGATGTGTATTTGTTTATACATATTTACAGTTGTACACATGCTATATGACAAAACTCAAGGTAAGTAAATATGAATGATGACTAAAAAAGTAAATAGATTTTGAGTCAAAATATTCAGTTGGATGGAAGCATTACAATCAACAATTCAGGCTGTAAAATCTGGGAGGTATACCCGGCATACTAGGTAACATGCACCAGAGTTGAATTGTACATTGTCTGTCAAATCCACATAATATGTATATTAGGACCAGCAGCATCCTCACCTATTCGGATATCACTTCTCTTAAGAACAATAACAATGTGGGCATAGTAATTTAGGACCTCAATGGTTCATTAGTAACAGTTGATATAAATAGGATTCCCCAAATTTTATTTTAATTAACTACATGTAATATATAGCAAGGCTAGCTACTATTTTGCTGGTTAATATATATCAAAGGGTTCAGATTAAGTAAGACGGGGCGAAGGGCATTTGTGTTGTCATTTTGGTCAATGGTGTAGTTAAAATTATACATAAAGGAAATAAAAGAAGGCCATGCTGTTCGTTCCTTGGAAGCCATCTCCAGTGTACATGAGCATAATCATGAATTTCTCTAACAGCGCCTTTACCTTAATTGAGAAGGTTTGATGATAACATAATATAAACACATACATTTAAAGGGGCTGGGTGGTTGTGGCCATTTTTAGGCTATTTGGATCTCCTTTAGAAGAAGAGCTCAATAAAGATATAACTGATCAAATTTTAAAACTAAAATTTATGAAATTTTTCTTTGCCAAATGATAGTTGACAGGTTAAGATATCATATATCAAAATTTAAATTATCTGGTGGTTAATAATTGTTGACCCCCTAGCCTCCTTAATGTCTTCTCACCCCTTAACAGCATAAAGGCCTTGTTCATCCTATAAAGTTGTGTTTAGTAAATGAAAAGTTTTGTACCATCTTAAGTTAACATGAAAAATCAGGTAAACTTATTTTAGTAATTTATTATATATGGATTATGTTGATTATTTACACAGAGATTAATTTCAGCATGGCTTTTATTTCCTAACAATGTTCTAAAAACACGGGTCTTGTCACTTGTTTAATATTTATACAAGAAGAGAACTTTGGGTATTGAAATACAATTCTACAAATAAAAGACTATAAAAAGAAGTTAAATAATAATTTATAGGCTAATTGAAGCACTGTGAAATAAATAAATTGTCAAGAGTACTAGGAAAGTAACATAATTAACATTATCTTTCTCATTGGGGAAAATTAACCTTAAAATAGGAATTGCAACTCAAATTTCCTGAACTTTTACCAATTTTACTCATTCAATATGGCATTGGGAATGAGGGACAATTTACAGAGTTCTTCAGTTGCTACAGTCAATGCAGGCTCATTTGAATACAGCTCACAGTGCTGGTACTTTCTATGTATTTTCCTAATATGGCATATGCTGTATGAATGGTCATGCAACAATAATAAATAAATAAATAAAATAGAAAGGGTTATAATGAGATTTATAAGGTTTAAATTGGGGCTTTTTGTCAGTGTTGGTTTCTGAGATTTGCTATTTCACACAGATAAAAGTTGCTTTAGTTAAAATTCTTTATTCACAGTTTTAAACTTGCAAAGGGTAAACTGTTTAGGTAACTAGTTTTCTTTATCACTAATAAGCACTAAAGGCGAGATTACCTAACTACCTAACAGCAGGGGGGGGGGGGGGGTAACACATATTGTTCCACAGGCTAGGTTACAATCCAAACCATTTCCTACAATATTTTCTTTTTAATAGTATGTGCTTACTGTTGGAAATTAAGACACATATGCATATCTCAGGGGGCATTTTCCCATTGAAAACATCAGTTCAAACCCAGGTGCCATTTGCATGTAATATGTTAGGTGTTTTTCTCTCATCTGAGCAGTTACATGTAGCTTGATTATTTTATGTTACTTTACAAATTTATCTCATATGGGATTAAGATGCATCAGTTGGTGCATATATATGTACATGCAGTTTACATCCATGCATTAGCTAGTGGGTACAAATACAGGTTAGCTAGGGGATACAAATACATGTGTGTAGGAGTTACAAGATTCATAGTATTAAGATTAGATAAACTTCTCCAGCATTTTAGGGTATTAGATATAGGATAGGTTTCCACTGACTAAACATATTAACTTTTATGCTCTTTATCATATATCCATTTTCTACAGCCTTAATAAGATTTTGAAGTCTATTATTTAAATAACCCATTCCATGACACATTTTTGTGGGGGGGGGGGGGGAGCTTAAGGTGTGAAAAGATCATGCATTTTTGATAGAGCATCAGCTGGGAAGGGGTTTAGAATGAAGGATTTAGTCATATGTGCCTTCAATGTCTGCTGCAGTCCAACTACATTTACAAATGAGCAGTAAATACAAAGTCCTCCATTGTGTGTCTTGGTTTGTAAGGTACTTATTATATACAAGATTGAATCAATTTTAAATGGTCCTTGAAGAGTTCACTTTCAATATAAGTGGTACATGTATAACATCATTCCCTCAGAACTGGCAAGATACATTACCAAATATCACAAAACATGTTCTGCAGTTTACAAATTGGGCATGTGAACACCTTTAAAATTATTGACAACATTCAGGAATAGCATAATCATGCTGAAAGGGAAAGGGAAAGGGGGGGGGGTTAAAGAGTAAAGGTGCTCATTCATCTTATTTCTCATCTCTGCATGAAAGTATTTTATCACCTAAAAAATAAATAAATAAGAAATAAAATTCAAATTTATAAACAAATAAATAAAAAAGGGGGGGGGGGGATCTAAATAAAACGTATTTTCTACACAATTTTCTTACATTAGTCCAGGTAGTAGTTCTCTCTTGCCAGCTGGATATTGATAATGGAATCTGAGACCCAAAGCAATATACTAGTAACTTGGAAAGATATAAATTCAGGAGGGGGGGGGGCGTTAGACCCAATTAATTTGAAGGGTCAGACTAGAATTATTTTAATGCAGGATAGTTCTAAAGTGGGTTGGCAATGAGAGAGTGATGTTCACGATGGATGGGTTGCTGAGGGTTTTGAGTAGGCTAGGAGTCCATGGTGGGTGGTTAAATTGAAGTTGCCTACCCCCACCAGGTGGCGGTGGGCACCTACGGTGCCCATGTGGCGAAATCGTCACCTTCAATTTAACCATTGAACTGTTGATTTTGTTGACTTTTTGTGGTTGATGTTGATATATGTGATGGTTGATGTTGATATATGTGATGTTGACTTTGAAAATTGTATCTTATACAATTTAAAGCTAAAGCAAAATAATATAATTATAAAAGATAATTTGTGTTGAAATGTGTCCGTAGCACGAATGAGGTCAACCCAGCGTGCTACTTTTCCCGTCAGGGAGGGCACAACTTATGTTGATGTTGGGGGTATGCCATTTTGCCGGCTGCCCCACTGTTGTGTAGACCACTGTGGACAATACCTGCCAACTCGAATAAAACATTAAACTTAAATACGTAGCTTTTGTTTATTATATACATAGGTCTTTGATAATACCGCATATTTGAGTTCATCTCACAATATGCGCCGTTATCAAAGCTCTATCCTATTATTCTATGTCATCATTCACCTCCTTTTTGTGGAAAAAACTAATAAATGTGATAAGCCGGAATTTATTTATCCATCCATACAGCGTCGGTACTTAGTCACTAGATTTACGGGTTATCTCCCCTTTTCTATGCATCAATGAAAGCGAAAGGTGGGTGATGAAAGTATCCGATTTATGATTTTGTATTGTTAAATACCCTCCCACCTCAACCCTTGAGCTAGGTGTTAAGTATATACCCCTTCTCCTTTTGTTTATTTAAATTACGTTTTCATTGTTTTACATGGTTTGGCTAAACCAAATTTATTAGAGTTATGCAAATGTTATTGAGAATCTTTTTCTGCTGTGGGTTTTTGTTTTTGTCTTTTCAGATATTAGAGATTTCGTTGAAGGAGACTAACGATGCTGATCTGAATTGCCTGCTATTTCCGTATTCTGGGACCTTTGGAATGATCTCTGGCCGAATACCATGCATGACAAGGGTCAACTTGGCGAATTATCCATTCGAGGAGTTCGGGGAAAGACAGTAAACTATACTTCACAGTGGTCGTATTGGCGAAATCGTCACCTTCAATTTAACCATTGAACTGTTGATTTTGTTGACTTTTTGTGGTTGATGTTGATATATGTGATGGTTGATGTTGATATATGTGATGTTGACTTTGAAAATTGTATCTTATACAATTTAAAGCTAAAGCAAAATAATATAATTATAAAAGATAATTTGTGTTGAAATGTGTCCGTAGCACGAATGAGGTCAACCCAGCGTGCTACTTTTCCCGTCAGGGAGGGCACAACTTATGTTGATGTTGGGGGTATGCCATTTTGCCGGCTGCCCCACTGTTGTGTAGACCACTGTGGACAATACCTGCCAACTCGAATAAAACATTAAACTTAAATACGTAGCTTTTGTTTATTATATACATAGGTCTTTGATAACATACATTTATTATAGACTGAGACTCAAAACATTCAAAGATCTGATTGATCTACAAAATGGCGGTCCAAGAAAATAGGCTTAAATTCCACTCAGAATGTTTTAATTTGGAAGTGCCTCTGATGCAATATTAAATGAAACTAAAATGCAAAAAAATACAAAAAAGTCTTAAGTTTTACAATCATGGGTATTTTCAGAAAATCTTTCTTCTTGAAGGAAAAAGAGAAGCAGTTCACAAATGTTGATGAGCAGAAGACAAGAAACTCTGGCTGCAAAATAATCTGAGCTCTTGAAAAAGAAAGAAAAAAAAAGAAATGAAAATATGAATGATATTCAATCAAAGGAATTCAGGAAATTCCACATGGAGAGACAATAAGGATTTTTGAATTGACCATTTCTGCTCGAACTGCTTTAAGCCCTTAAAGCTGATACCCTGGTGCTGAACAAACTTTTCTCCTAGACTGGAATTAAAAACTGTTCAATTTCTGGCATTAAAACACACTTTGAAACATGCTGAGGAAGGACCCCCCTCTCCTCTTGACCAAGTAAGGTTAAACATTCTGCAAAGAGTTGCGTTTGAATTGAAATTTTTCATACTTTTAATAGGAATAAACTACATTATTCATTTACTATGATTTGATATGTCAGAATTGTCTATTTTAAGTTTTTTAACAAAGATTTTGTTGCCATGGTTGGAAAACAAACAACAATTCTGTGAAATCTTTCAAGATGCTGTATTATAAAACATCAACTGTTACTGTTTTAAGCATGACTTCATGCATTTTCATGAATAAACATGAATAATAATATTGCATTTTTTTGTTTACAAATAAGCAAGAATATTCATGAATGCTAATGTTTCATGAATTTTATCAATTCATGAACATTCATGAAAAAATTTATCAAATTATTCATGAACAGTTCATGAAGTTCAAATGAACTTATTATTGGACATTCTTGAAATGATGAATGTTCATGAATATGACTCTTCATGAATTATTCATGAAAAAAAATATTCATGAATATTCATCAATTTTCTTTCATGAATAAAAATTCATGATTTGAAAATGTCCCATAATAAGTTCATAGGATCTTCATGAACATTTCATGAATAAAATTCATGAAAAATTCAAGAAATTTCATGAATTTTTCATGATCGTCTCGCAGGTTTTTTTTTTATTCTTTTTTAATATGAAATACTTTGTAAATTTGTAGTAGATGAAAAATAGATAAGATATATTATTTGGTTAGGATTGTACATGCGACGATTTAGGGGACTGTCCTAAAGAGCCTGTGGATTTTAAGATATTCTGAAACACCTACAAGTAGCAACACAACATTTAAACTGTCTTAATGTTCAGTACCAAATTTAACTGTGAATCATGTTCTGTGATTGATACATGCATTTTTTCTTACCCAATGAACAGACGACTCCAGCATCTTCGCCATGACCACAATCATGTTCACCGAAAGCTGATCTGGGACACTGAAATAAATTATTCTCGGTTCCTAAACATTCCACCTGGTCCATCCATATTGGTCCATATCCTGGTCCAAAGAAAGCTTTTTTAAAGGACACCGAATTGTCCCTGTTAAAAATAATACATTACCGTGGTTTCACTATATTGTGACAATATCTCATTTTCCGTCATCTCTATTGTTAAATACGACTTATTTCTTTTCACAGCATTATTGTAAATAATAGCCTTTATGTAATATATGATGTATATTGGTTTCATGTTTGTTTGAGTCTTATTGTGAAATTAGTATTCTCCTTGAGAAAAAAATTTTATTGTCCAATCGTAGTGCGTATTCAAATCACGTGACACAAAATGTCGTCTTTTCACTGATCTAAAAGTGTTATCAAGTTCACAGAATCATTTTAAGAAATTAATCCACCCCCGTCTCGCTTCATACTCCACGATAAAAACATGTTACTCTATTTAATATATTATTTTATTTTACATGATAGGAGGGGTCTGATCTGAGTTGTCTGTATGTCTTCTATCTTAGTAGGGGATGGACTCGAAGCAAAGCGCTTGCGCTGCAAGTGCATTGTATGAGGGTAGTACACTAAGCGGAAAGTTGTGTAAAGGGATCATGCTCCCTGTATCTATAATTAATATTTTATTTATGCTTGTGGCTTCTTACTTGCCATGTGGCAAATTTTTGTTTTGTCAACTTTACTGTTCTGTTTCAATACTTTCACTGACTTTTGTCAAATTATTGGCAGCTTTTTGTTATGACAACTTTGGGGTTTATGTACTTTTTATTTGTCAAAATATGTTTGCTAAACTGATGATTTTTTTGCAACAGGGGAGATACCATTGCTAAATTTATTGTTCTTTGTACTAAGGAAATATCCCGGGTATCTCCCCTTAACTATAGTTGTGTAATATACTTATTATCATTTAATAAATGGCATCTCTCACTCAATGTGCATTGTCTTTCAATTGCTTTCAACTACAGCGAAAGCCTAGAGCAAGATCACTAGGATTACATAAAAGTAATGGGATGACAAGACAATTAAATACCTGGGGTGGGGTGGGGTGGGGGGGGGGGGGGTATTTCCATGTTGCATTACTGAATTTTCCTCTCAGTACTATTGATGTGATTATTTCGTCATTAGAGAATACTCAGTTACTTAACCTCAGATAAAACAAAAAAACAATAAAAATTTAAAATTTAATTACGACAGTATAATAATCTGACCTCGAAAATCCTAGCATTGAGCATACTACAGCAGCATCTCTGTTATCCCAGTTGTCATCACAAACAGTTCCCCACGTACCGTTATACATGATCTCCACCCGACCCATCGCAGATGTATATCCACTTGCAAGTCTGATGCTTTGAGCTAGAACAATGAATTTAATAATTAAATTTCTATCCTGGGATATGCATTTTATAGAATATTTTAATCATTTCATGTGCTCTGAGGAATGCGTTCATAAAGTTCATAAAATTAAACTTTCAGAAGAGCAATATGACCTAGTATTGTCTAGAATCTAATTAATAGTTACATCTAGTCGAACAAACGGACGGACGGACAAAAGAATAGAAAATCAGACCATAATTAATATCCTAATGAAAGCGGATACAAATTAATGACCGCTGTTATGGTTTAAGAAATATATTGTCTCAATTGATTGAGTATTGGTCCATTTCGTTTGGTTGTTTAATGCCCTTTCACTCATATAAGACGCTGCCATTTGCTGGTGGAGGACTGCGAAATTAAACCTGTTATCGGCGAAAGCCTTTGAGCAATGATTAAGAGGTATCCCTTTTGTTTCAGCACCTCCTGCAACAAAGGGCGACTAATAGCATCACGTCCGAAGGACCAATCGTCACGTTCCGCTGCGGATTCGAATCCGCCACAAAAGGATCAACTCCCTACTTCGCCAGTTTAGAGAACACTGTTACAGTAATTTGACCAGTTCCGAATAAGAAACGGATTCGGGGTTGCTATGAATATACGAAGCATTATTTCAAAATATAGGTTTTTGGCAAGGTAGTTTAATGACTTGTGGAATTAGATATTGTTTCATAAAAGTTGCCCATGTAAGGTCTTCCCCATAGCTTTTTATAATCTGGTAATACAAATAAAAGCAAGATAATAAGAAGTGGGAATACCTACTCTGGAGGAAGTGAAATCATACTAGTACTCTAAAGTCAATTATCCGTAGTGGGAATCCTACTTTACAACCTATGAATTTCACTTTCTAATAGGGGGTCCTTCTCTACAGCCAGTTTTCCGATGAGAAGGAGGAATTTAGATCGAGGGGAATTCCTAATCTAAAAGACCGCTTAAACTATTGACATGGCCGAGATCAACAATTTTTAAACCGGTCCGATAAAAAAACTGTTGCCCGAGATCCTGTAAACAACTCTGTACGTAATATTATGAGAAAAACAAAAACATGTCAAATTTGTAAAACTTTGGAAGAGTACCTTTCGCAAAAGATACGATGCTAAGTGAAAATCGTTCATGATTTTCTAGGCATTAACTCATATTTGATTTCATAACTTCATAACATACAGGTAACTATTATTTAGCACATGTTGTAATACTGTTGTGAATTGATAAGTCCGTTTTAAAGTTCAGAATTTATTGTAAGTCTAAAAATATAAAATTCACAAATACAATTTCGAACACATTTCGCAGATGGAAGAAACTGAATTGAACAAAGAATTTTCTTAGATGGAACACATTGAATTTACAAAGAATTTTCTTAGATTGACTCGCTTACAAACTCACTCACATCTTATCTTTGACAACTCCGCCCACTTTCGTACTGACCAGCCAATTAAATCAAGGATAGAAAGTTGCATGAACAGAGGGAATCAGTATGACATTAATTTACAACACTGAAATTAGGTAGAGCTAAGCATAACGAAATCAAAGAACACAATCCCAAGGTCTAACCATAAAGTTGATGAATTAGATATTGCTACCATGTACAAAATGCCCTTTCTAAACATCAAATGAAAACAATTAACCTTCAACTACAGATGTTAAAATAGACCAAAATTACTATAGAAATAGATTGACAATAAATAATTTGTCATTTAGAAACCCTCATAACACATAATTAAAACAATGTATTTGGTTATTCATTGCTTTTTAAAGCAATTTTTATTGTATTTAGAACAAATAAAATTCTTACCTTTTACAAATGGTATGAATCGACTAAGAATTGCTGTAAGAAATAATATCTGAAACCTTGGATATATACAATACATTTCTCTTCAAATTCATCAAATTTTGTATCGCTTTTTAATTGATACATTTATTTCAACACTAAACTGTCCTAAACATGAACAAGGAAGGAAATACTGTAGTTGCAAAATACCAAACACTATATACTTTTATAAATATGTTAGCGCTCTGTTTTTAGCCCTTATAAAATTAATGTATAATAGTGTGACTTATCCTCAGTTTGCGTTACTTACCGTGAACAGAAAATAAAAAAAAAACATTTTCGAAGAGAAAAGGACAAAAACAATATACGCTCCGGATCTATCGATATACATATCACTTTATATAGCTATAGGATAAACTTTTTTAAAATTCATCGCAATCTGATTGGGACTCTTTTACGGCTGAGAATTCCTTCTTGAATTTGAAAATAAATGAAGCGACATGGAGATTTGCAGTTGAATTCGTTTTTCAACATTACATTATTTTCTTATCGAAACTTTAACTTCATATATATATAGGTAAATATTTACCAAACTATGTGCGTATGTTGAGACTTACGGTTGAAATCGATCTTAAAATTTACAGTACAGATATTAGAACGGTATGTTTGTAAGCGACATAGAAAAATCTTAATTGGTCATGTTTTTGTAGAATGACTGATAATACAATCTATACAACGCCTTCTCTTCTTATCTCTTCATAACCACTTCAATTTTTAATATTTTTTAATGTTCTACTCATGTACTTGTGGCACAGTGGTTAGAACGTCTGCTCTAGGGTCGCAAAGTAAGGAGTTGATTCTTACGTCGCGGGTTTGATTTCCACTACAGGACTTGGAGACCGGTGTTTCGGATGAGACCGTATAAATCGAGGTCATGTGTCGCAGTAGGTGTTGAATGAAAAAGATCTGACCGCTTAATGACTCTGAGTGCCGAGTATAGTTATAAATTTGCAGCTCTCCACCGGCAAGTGGTTGCGTCTCCATATGAGTGAAAACTTCTTGCGAGGGACGTGAAACAGCAAAAAAAAAAAAAAAAAAAAATCTGCTCAAGAACGGGACCTAATCCAACATGACTGTAATCCATCAACTAGAAGAACACACCCATGGTTAGTCATTTTTATTTGTTCAATTTTTGAGAACTGGGGGAGGATTGTGACACAGAAAGTAATCAATGTTTAACATTGGGAAATTAGAGGGAAGTCTGCTAATAAAGAATAGCAGTGTAATAGAAACTCTGGTGGGCGATTAGGCCTCCTCTTTTAAATACTTAAAGTATTATTTTTAATTTATTAAAATTAGCATAAGATAAAGTAGTTGATTGAAAGAGGTATTTCTAACTTAGATGTAATAGAATATTTCAATAAAAAAGAATTATTTTTTTTACTCCACAATTGCCGTTTGTTCATGGGAAGGGGTTAAACTATTTCGGTAAAAATAAATGAAATGTGGAAGGATTTGACTATTATGCAAAAAAGGGACCATCTGGCCTTAAAAAGAACATTTTTACACTTAGTTAATAGTAAAAAAATATCAGTGTTAAGGAAAGAGGGAAGGTCAGGTCCCTTGGACACCCTGTTACATGTACTATGTGACAATATGAGTTACATTAATGGCAAGTACATGTACCAAGTACATCTTTTATGTTAAAGTTTGAATAATGATTGGGATATTCCTGTGATTATTGTTATGAAAATGAAAGATTATTGGTAATGATTCCTACATTTTTACCATTATCAAACTAATTTTTCCATCAAATCAAGTTGAGCTGCTGAAAAGTTTTTATTTTTTACCCTTTGTGGTGGCTTCCCCATATGAGGAAAAAAAATTCTGAACAGGGACGTTAAACAACAATTAAACAAAACCATTTTTGGACGAGACAATTTCATGTACTATATCCTGAATTCCCTGTAGGACAAAGCAATTGGTAGTATATTCATTATAACACCGAAAACGAAAAAAGTTGTGCACATTTAATAACGTGACTTTTATTTGCCTATAATTCAGTTTGAAAACATTCAAACATTTCTTCGGTAAAAAGAAATTCAAAAGTATGTTCATTTTGTTTATTGTAAAGTACATGTGCACTCATGCTGTAACGCCACAGAAGAAATTGTTTTCTTATTGGGATAAATACTTAACATTTCATATTTTCTATACATTTATGTTCTTATTCGTTTCCACTCAAACGAACATAAACTAGAGGTACTGTGAGCAATGAGCTCACTAAATGATACCCCCGCCTCCCATACGAATATAATGGCAGTGTCCATGTTTTGCTCTGGAAAATCCAAAATATATACCAGATCAAAAAGTAAAATAGGAGGTGCAAAATGGCAATATGTAATGAAGATTCTGCGAAAGTTTCATTAAATTTCCTCCAGTGGTATGATAGGAGTTGCGGATAAGAGATGGGTACCCAAAAGCGTAACAGACGGACGGACGGAAATACCGATTACTGTATACCCTCCCATTTTTCAAGCGGGGGGGGGTATAATAATTCATAAAATAAATAACAACACGTATAGGTACAGAAGCGCTTTCGTAAGTGCAGTTTAATTAAAGCTGAACACTACTCGTAAAAAAGGCATGGTCCGCCATATTTCCCGTTCTTCAACGCTTTCCCTACAACCCATATAAAAGGAGCAGATCGATTATCAGTTCAATGTATTTTGCCGTTCTACTCGGTCGCGATGAAATTATCAAATTTAACGTATTTTTCCAAAACAGGATAAAAGTATCATGAAAAATACAGGTCAATACATTATTTACAAACAGAAAATGCACATAAAAACAAGGAATAAACGCAAAAAATCTAAGACCACGAAAGGAGTACTACATGCCGACCACGAGTTTTGAGTGTGCAACCGGTTTTAACAAAATCGAATGGTTTATGTACCCGTCTGACAGTGCCTATCTTTGAGAAGTGTTCAGCTTCAATATTATATACAAAATATACATTTCCGACTTTACTTCTTGACAACTCGTACAATCTACAAAACAAAAACATGTAATAAATAAAAACAAAGATGATACTTGTGAGGATGGGTGGGTGAGTGGGGAAACATCTGACTGCAATGAGAAAGAGTCCTCCAATGGCATTTAGCTTTTACATACGTTAAAGTTTGCTTTAACAGACTACCTGGGGAACAGGTATTCTATAAATAAATACTTTAACCAATCACACTGACTCTCTTCCTAACTAAATAAACACGTGTTCGATTGATACACGTGTTGTGATAGCTTCTATAAATACATGTACATGTATTACAATGTAATAAGCTTAATGATTCGGGTATATACTTTCCATTAATTAGACTGAATTTATAAAGGAAATGTTCAGTTATCAGAGGATCCATTTAACAAAAAATTGTACCTTTAGTACATCAAAAATACTAAATTTTTATTAAAAAGGTATATCATTTTTCTAATATCTTCATTTTTCACCTTAAAGGAAGAAATTCAAAAATTTCTAACTTTATAAAGTTCAATGTACATGTCGCGTTCAAATTCGGAGTTGTATACACACCCCTACTAATGTTATTGTGATTTAAATTCAAGGCACGTGGTTTAGGTTGACCTATTCAAAGGTTATAGGGTAGAACCGTTTTTATAAATAAAACTGGCAGTAAACAGAAAATTCCTATAGTCTGTATGTCCTGTAAAAATGTGTTTTCAGACATTTTTGAAAGACTTTCATGATTTTAGACAGAAAAAGGGTGGCTCAAGGGGGTGTTAAATGACAATATATATCTTATCATACTTTACGGCGAAAATAATAGCTCACTAGCGACCAATACGCTGGTAAAAAAATAGGTGTAATGTCATCTACACTGACAAACCTTTGTTTGCCTTATATGGCCATTGTTATAAATGCGCACAGAGGATCTTACCATGAGCAACTGACCAATCGTTGAATGAATAGCAACGTGTACGCCAAATACATGTTTACATTCTATTTCGAACACGTGTTTCAGGTCAATCTATGATCATGTGAATGGAGTGAAAAATAAAAGAAATGTTCTTATGAACAAAATACAAAGATTTGTTGGTAACTAGAAAAATGTAGTTTTTGTCTAGCTTAGAACACCAGCGCTTCAAGGGTAAGGAAAACAAGCAGCATCTCTTAAGCATTTCAATGGACAAATCCTTGTTTACATAACTATACTCGTGATCACGTGTTTTGGCCAGGGAATCCACCTGACAATTGTATTCACCGCTAGTACAATAAAATTTCTCCTCACTTTCAAATAGAAATAAATTTATATGGCTAACGTCAAATGAAAGTAGTGATATAATAAATAGTTTTGCAGAATATATATTTAGATGTTACAATAAAAGATCCAATGTTGTCTCAGGATGTTCCTGAAAGTCGAGAATGATATAATATGCAGACAAGGTAGATATCCACTAAAATTTATGCATGATGTGTCATAATATTTGCGTTTGTGTACTTTTATCATACATGTATATTATACATATTCATTGTTGCATATGAATTCAACTAACATTTGGATCTCTTCCTCTCTTTAGCTTTATATTTTATTTATGTTGTATTTTTTCTTGAATGCCCTTCATGGGCCCAAAATTGGAAATAAATGATATTCTATTCTATTCCGCTAGTACAACAATGAACAAAGGAATTAATACAGACACAAATCGCTTTGAAGTATGACTTTGAGAAACCTAGACTTCCATCGTTTATTTAACAGATGAATTGTTTGTCATTGTGAGCATGAAAATAATATAGAATTATTTTTTTTAAAAATGCTATTCATTTACCATAAGATTTTCCTTTTTTATCGTAAAATTCCTGTAGTATTCGTAGTAACCCATAATGCATTTCTCATTCAGCTGATTGGACAGTTAAAATCATGCTGGTGCCTCATTTGCTAATCTGACGCCAAAAAATATACATGTAGTTCCAGTTCCCATGTAAAAATATTTGTCCAAAAGAAATTTTAATTTATGACTGCAGAAAATTGTAATATAGAGAATACTTATTTGAGTTTGAATGAATGTAAGAGAGATCGAATGAAGTGCATTTCTACAGATATTATAGGTTGGTAAAAACTGAAACGCAACATAACTTTTCTGTTTACCATGTCTCC